CTAGCTTCCGGATGTGCGGTTTCCTCTTTTAAAATCGTTAACTGTCTCACTGTGCAAGGGCCTTATGCCTGAGCGATCTCACATTCTTTTTGAAAGGAGGTAAAAAGGTGGGGAGATTAAAAAAAAAAAAAGACAAATCGAATTACAGTCACCTTTTTCTTTTCTTTCTTTAACAAAGCGATTGGCGGGGTGGATTACCGGTTTCCCACCTGGACAATGGCCCGGGCTCGGGCCCAGAGAGGTGGATTCCAGGCTATCGGAGCCCAGATCCGCCCTCTCTGGAGGGCAGCACGAAAATGTAGAGACTGAGCACACGGGAGGGGGCGGGGGAGGGATATTCTGATCCCACCACTCGGTCCCCAAGTTCAAGTGCTGGGGAGCTAGCTGTCTTACTGACCCTGGAAAAGGAGTTTTTAAACATGTTTTTAAGATTGACTTTTATTTTTTTTAAATGCATTTTTAAAAAAAAAAAATTGATTTCAGAGAGGGAGAGTAAGAGATAGAAACATCAACGATGAGAAACATTGATGGGCTGCCTCCTGCACGCCTCCCCCCCCCCCCCCCCCCCCAATGAGGATGGAGTCCGCAACCCAGGCGTGGGCCCTTGACCGGAATCGAACCTGGGACCCTTCAGGCCACAGACCAATGCTCTATTCACTGAGCCTGGCTAGGGCTAAAATTTATTTTTTACAAAGGAAGGGAGAAAAGGAGGGAGACGGAGAGAGAAACATCAACGATGAGAGAGAATCACGGGATCGAGTCCACAATCTGGGTACGTGCCCTTGACTGGGAATCGAACCATGGCCTCCTGGTTCCTAGGTTGACGCCAACCACTGAGCAAACTGGCCCGCCTACAGCTTGTATTTAATCAACCCGAAACAAATGTCCTCAGCTACAGGACAAGTAACAGCAGTGACAATGCTGTTGCTTCTGCATCATCACTGCTTCTTTTCCTTTTTTTTTTTTTTTTTCCTTTTTATTGATTTCAGGGAAGAAGGGAGAAGGGGGCAGAGAGAGAGAGAGAGAAACATTGATGAGAGAGAACCATTGATCGGCTGCCTCCTCATGCCCCCCACCAGGGATCAAGCCCCCATCCTGGGCATGTGCCCTGAGCGGGATTCGAACCTGAGACCTCCTGGTTCCTAAATCGATGCTCAACTACTGAGCCACACAGTCCAGGCTCATCACTGTTTCTTGTTCCCCCCAATTCCATCCGGGACCAGAAGGCAGAAACGATGCTGACAGCAGGCGGCGGCACTGAGTACACACATGAACACACATGTGGGACCCCCGTCTCCCTGATGATCACCCACACAGCGAGATGCCCCCGTAACCAAGGAAAACCGAGCTCCAGTGACCAGACGGCCCTGCTCAGCCCCACACTTCCGGGCGGGATTAACGGACTCACTGAGACAAGAACGTCCTGGCCGAGCGCCAGGGAGCCCGGAGCCAACATGCCGCCTGTGCCCAGCCGTCCTGCAGTTGCGACGATTTAACACGCTCACAGCTGCACTGAAAGGTCCCCGGTTCGATCCCCGGTGAGGGGTGTGCAGGAGGCAGCTGATTGATGTCTCTCTCTCATCGATGTTTCTAGCTCTCTATCCCTCTCCCTTCCTCTCTGTAAAAAAAAAAAAAATCAATAAAATATATTTTAAAAAATGAATGACATGAAGATGTAACTTTTTCTTCTTTTTTGGTTAATCCGCACCTGGGGATATTCTTCCATTGATTTTTAGAGAGAGGGGAAGGGAGAGACAGAGACAGAGACATCGATGCGAGAGACACACACACACATCGATCGGCTGTCTCCTGCACGCACCCCGACCAGGGACGGGGGGAGCCTGCCACCCAGGTAGGTGCCCTTGACTGGAATCAAACCTGGGCACCCTTCTGTCCCCAGGCCGATGCTCTACCCACTGAGCCACACCAGCGTGGACTTCTGGCTCAGGCTGCAGGAGGGCACGCATGGCCAAGTGGTAATCATAAAGTCACACCCTCCGGCCTCCATCTCCTCCCTCCGACCCCCTTTTTTCAGGCCTGCCTCCCCAAGTTCCTCCAGGCTAAACTGGTCCCGGGCCATCCGCTTGCAGCCAGTCTAAACACACTTGGAGGGTGGACAGCTGAGAAGCCCAGGTCCTGAACAGGGCGGGCGGGCAGGCTGGGGGCAGGTCCCTTTCTCAGGCTCCAAAGTAACTGTAACTTGTTCAGATCAGAGAGATAAAGGAAAAGGTATGCGGGAGGGAGGGAGGGAGGGCGGGTGAATGACTGGCCAGGATACACGGTTTCCTCTCCCTAAGGGCTTTTTTTGCTTTATCAGCCAGGCAAGGGCTGTCCGCCCGCCCTGAGGGAAAGACAGGATACAATGTGTCTGGATAAGGATAAGGGTTTTTTTTTTTTTTTTTTTTTTCCTTCTTTATCAAAAAGGCAGCTGTCTCAGAGAAAGGAGCCAGGAGGGAGGGAGGGGAGAGCTTCAATTGTGTTTCCACTTTCTCCTAAGTTCCTGAAGGGGGGAGAGGGGGAGAAAAAGGGGAGATTTGGGAAGGAGGCCCCAAAAGGTCAAGCTTGGGCTTTTTTTTTTTTTTTTTTTTTTTTGGGGGGGGGGGAGCATCACCTCCCAAGTGTAAAAGGTGAGGTTCGGCCTGAGTTCCACTCTCTGGGTATACCAGAAGGCCGAGTGAATTTTGCACCCACAAAAATGTATATGTTTAGAGAGAGAGAGAGAGTGTGTGTGTGTGTGTGTGTGTGTGTGTATGGGGGAGAGGGGGCTCCAGAAACCACACCATCTACTTTTTGAAACCAAACTACTGAGAACTTCACCCAACGGTGTATGGTCCCAGGACGTGTCACCGACGGGGCCGAAATGTGGGTGTCACTTTCAAAACCCACCGCCCCCTGAGCCACTGTCAGAGCTCAGCCTGCACTTCTGGCGCGGATAGTGCTCCGGCCCGAGCACCGAAAAGCCCAATATTCCGGGTACAGTTCCGGGTAATTATTCACTCAAGATCTGATGAAGGCGTGGGGGGTGGGAGGGGGAACACACACACCTTGATCTGCGGGTTCCCCAAACTGGGCCTCGGGTCTGCCTTTGCACTTAGGGGCATTCTGGGCCGAGAACCTTAGGCAAGATCCTAAAGGGAACACTCAGACGGGAATCAAGGCGATGAAAGGGCAAACGGGACCAGGAGGCCACGGTCCCGTTCCCGGTCGGGGGCACAGGCCCCGGGTTGCGGGCTGTACACCCCAGTGTGGGGCGTGCAGGAGGCAGCCGATCCATGGTTTTCTCTCATCGCGGATGTATGGATGTTTCCCTCTCTCTCTCCCTCTCCCTTCCTGAAATCAATAAAAAAATATTTTATATATATATCTATATACATATAGATATATATATATAAGAACCAACCGGCTTGTCCTTGCTCGGCGCTGTGCGCCCCAAAAGTTCCTTCCGGGAAGTACCTCACACTGTGAGTTTTCCCCGCTAGGAATCCACGCCCCTTGCCCGCCTCAAACTCACCCCAGCCAGCACCCATCTGCCACTCCCAAACCACCTCCCTCCTAAGGGCGACTTTGCCTAATCCCCCTGCTAATCCCCAGACATGCTTCCAGCCACTTTTCTGACTCATCTGGCCAACTAGGGCCCAGCCTACCGCTGCCGGCATCCCGGGATCCCTTCCCAGAACCCGGCCCGGTGAGCTTCACGTCCCCTAGGGGCCAGGAACCGCTTTCCCCCAAAGGTGCACCCCTTTCACCACCGGCAGCACCTCCAAAGTGAAACCTACAGCAGGCCAAGGGCACGGGTGTCTAACCAGCTTCTTCTCCACGGGCTGGGCCAGGACAACGGGGCGAATTTCAAACCAATTTCAAACCATCCGCTAACCGTCACAATGTCACCCCTAAGGGCTGTGCTAACTGCCTTACGAGGGAGATGGCGATCAGTCAGGACCATTTAAACAAAAGACAGGCCGGACATGGAAAGCTCAAGTGCCTTGCTCAGGGGTTGAGCGTCCTCCTAGGAACCAGGAGGTCAGGGTTCGATTCCCGATCAGGGCACTGGCCCGGGTTGCAGGCTCCATCCCCAGTGTGGGGTGTGCAGGAGGCAGCCGGTCCATGATTCTCTCTCATCAATGATCTTTCTCTTTCTCTCTCCTTCTTCCTTCCTCTCTGAAGTCAATAAAATGTATTAAAAATGTTTTTAAAAGAAAGTGCCTTGCATAGTCAGGGTGAGGACCACACCCAGAGGGACCCTCTGACCCTCAAGCCCCTGCATCTTTTTTTTTTTTTTAAATACATTTTATTGATTGTTTGTTTTTTTTTACAGAGAGGAAGAGATAGGGACAGAGAGTCAGAAACATCGACCAGCTGCCTCCTGCACCCCCCCCACTGGGGATGTGCCCGCAACCCAGGTCCATGCCCTTGACCGAATTGAACCTGGGACCCTTCAGTCCACAGGCTGAGCCACACCGGTTTGAGCAAGCCCCTGCATCGTGGGTGATGAGCACAGGTCCTGCCTCTGACCTCTGATGCCCGAGAATGCCTGGCATTCCCAAGGGGCACCTTCCCCTTTCCTTTCCCCCCACCCCTCGCCCCCCCACCAGGGGCGCCCGGGGAGCCTGGGTCCTGGGATCAGGGAAAGGCAGGAGCCGCGGGGTAGTGTCTGCGGGGCCACCCGCCGGGATGCCGGCTGCGGGAGGGACGGAGGGACGGAGGGACGGAGAGATGGAGGGATGGAGGGACGGAGAGATGGAGGGACGGAGGGGTGGAGGGGTGGAGGGACGGAGAGATGGAGGGACGGAGGGCCGGAGGGATGGAGAGACGGAGAGACGGAGGGACAGAGAGATGGAGAGACGGAGAGGAGGGACGGAGGGATGGAGAGACGGAGAGGAGGGACGGAGGGACGGAGGGACGGCGGGATGGAGGGCCGGAGGGACAGAGGGACGAGGGCCGGAGGGAGGGCTCACCGGTAGACGGCCACGGCGCGCGTCCGCAGGTACTTCTGGGCCGTCATGACTCCCACGAAGAGAAAGTTGCGGTCGCGCGGGCCGCCCTCGGGGGCCGAGCCGCGGGGCCAGGGCTGCTGCGCCCCGCGCGCCGCCGCCTGGCCGGCCCGGCAGCCCTCGGGGCCGGCGCGGCGCCGCGGGCCCGCCCGCTTCAGCTCGGAGGCGCGGGGCAGGACGAGGCGCGAGGCCAGCACGAAGCCCAGCACCAGCCCGAGCAGCACGCTGAGCCAGGCGCGCCGGCCCCGCGCGGCCATGTCCGCGCCGCCGCTCCCCGCAGCCGCCGGCCCCGCGCGCGCTCAGCTCGCCGCCGCCGCCGCCGCCCCCCGCCCGCCCGCGGAGGCCGGCCCCGCGCCCTAGAGCCGCCCGCAGGCCCGGCCCGCCGGGCAGCAGCGCCGCCGCCGCCCCCGGGGCCCCGCCGCGCCCATCGCGGCCCCCCCGGTCCCCCCCGAGCCGCCCGCAGGCCCCGCGCCACCGCTTTGTTCCGCGCGCGCCCCGCCGCGGCCTGCGCCTTTAAGGCGGGACCATGCCGCGGCCTGCGCCTTTAAGGCGGGACCATGCCGCGGCCTGCGCCTTTAAGGCGGGACCATGCCCGGCGCGGGGGCCGCGGGGGCGGCTCCTCACGCTCGCTCGACGGCGACCGCGGGGGCCGCCGAGCCCCGGTGGTGGTGGTGGTGGTGGTGCCCGGTCCCGCCCGCGTGCGCCCCGACGGCTCGGCTGCGGCTGCGACTGCGCTGCGCCCCTGCCCGTCCTGGCCGTGGCCGCCGCACATCCTCCGGCTCAGCGCGCCATGGCCCCCGGCGCCCCTCACGTCACGCACGGCGCGCGAAGGGGCGGCGGCGGCGGCGGCGGCGGCGCGAAGGCGAGGCGTCGTGGCCCCTCTCGGGACCCGTCCGCGCGCGCCAATTGGCGCAGAAGTGAATGGGGGGCGGCGCACGTGGCTTAAAGTTTAACCAGAAAAAAAAAAGTCCAAAAAAAATTTGCAAAAAAAAAAAAAAAAGCCCTCCCGGCGCCCGTGTGTGTGTGCGCGCGCGCGCGTGCATTGCTCCGCCCGGCAGCGGGGTGCATCGGGGTCTCCGGGGCGGCTGGGCGAGGGGCGCACGGGAGGGGGACCCCCCTCCACCCACCCCCGGATCGACGCCCCTGGAGTGGCCCGTGAGGGCGCCCCCGCTTCCTCCTCCAGGGGGCGCCCCTGCTGCCCGCGGCGTGGCCCACGTGCGGAGGGGGCTCCTGGGTCCCCAAAGTGTCCCCGATCCGCGGGGTGCGCCCCGGGCCGGCCGAGGCCCTGTCCTGGGATCAACCCGCCGTCCCCGCCCTGCGCTCCCGCCGGCGCCCCCGGCCGCGCCGGCTCACACTGCGCCTTTGTTCCCGCCGGCGCTGCGGGCGGGACGCGCGCCTCTAGAACCCGCAGCGCCGGGAGGCGCGTTTGCGACGTGCGCGCCCGCCGCTTGGGGAGGGAGGGAGGGGGGGAGCCGTGAATTCAGTTGCCTTGTTCCCTGTCCTAAAATTAAATAAAAAAAAATAAAAATTTAAAAAAAGCGTGTAGGTGTCATGCCCAAGCCCCTAACAGTAATAGCATTTCATGGGTGAGGAGTACATGGTAGGGGATGTTCTTACTTGGGTGGGAAGTCTGATTTCTCCCCTTTCTCCCCCAAATACTATGTGGGCAGATAGTCCGCAGATACCCTAACCTGAGTCTTTTAAAAATATATATTTTATTGATTTTTTTTTTTTTTTTTTTACAGAGAGGAAGGGAGAGGGATAGAGTTCGAAACATCGATGAGAGAGAATCATCGATCAGCTGCCTCTTGCACACACCCCCACTGGCGATGTGCCGGCAATCAAGGTACATGTCCTTGACCGGATCTGTCTGGGACCCTTCAGTCCGCAGGCCGACGCTCTGTCCCTGGAGCCAAACCGGTCAGGGACTAAACTGAGTTAACTTTTCTTAAAAAAACAAACAACATATATATATATATTGATGTCAGAGAGGAAGGGAGAGGGAGAGAGAAAGAGAGAAACATCCATGATGAGAGAGAATCATGGATCGGCTGCCTCCTGCTCGCCCCACACTGGGGATGGAGCCCACAACCCGGGCCTGTGCCCTCGACCTGAATCGAACTCAGAACGTCAGGCCGACGCGCTATTTACTGAACCACACTGGCCAGGCGTAGGGCACAGTGGGAAGCGCTGGGTGGTGGAGGCGTTGCTGTTTCTGCAGTTGGATGGCGCCGCCCGCCCCTGTTTGTCCTTTGGGTAGCACCACGTTTCCCAGCATTTGTGAATTATGTCAAAAATAGTGCCACCCCCACACACACACACACCCTACCTTCCCACAGACACCCCCACCCCTCCGAGGCAATCCACGTCTAAAATGGCTCATTATGCAGCGAATACACGATGCAGGGTTCTGTCCGTGCTTGTGGGAAAAGCACAGAACACACCGCCTCAAATGACCGGCTCCAACGCCTAAAAAAATGGGGTTTTTAGGAAGATCATAAGCGGCAGTACCCTCTCCATACCCCCAATTCACCATGATTTTCCCATCAAGCACACATCGGATAAGGCTCTGATGGTCCATTTGGTGCCCTAGGGGGTGGTTTCAATAGTCTAACCCGCCTGCCACCCCGTATTTCTTCATCGAGACCCGTGGTCGGCAAATGGCGGTGAGAGAGAGCCACAGGCGGCTCTTTGGGCCCCTGGAGTGTGGCTCTTCCACAAAATACCATGGCCTGGACAAGTTTATTTTGAAGAAGTGGCTTTCGAAGAAGTTTCAATTAAAAACAAAAAAAATGTGGCTCTCCAAAGAAATTTCTATCATTATGCTGTTGATCATTGGCTCTTTGGATGGACTCATGGGTTTGCCCAACCCTGTCATCTAGACTAACACCCGAGGGAATGCACAGAGCTTGGCCAGTGTGGCTCAGTGGACTGAGCATTGACCTCTGAACCAGGAGGTCAAGGGCCCGTGTCAGGGTTGTGGGTTCGATCCCTAGGAAAGGGGGGGGGGTGTGCAGGAGGCAGGTCTTTTTTTTTTTTATGTGTCTCTCCCATTGATGTTTCTCTCTTGCTCCCTCTCCCTTCCTCTCTCTACAATCAATACACATGTCTTTTAAAAAATGGAAAAGGAGTGTCCTTAGTCATAATTAGGTGGACCAGTCAAGGAAGCCCCAAGCAGCCGTTATTCAATGACAATGACTCCCACGGGTCCACGCCCTGCCCGAGAGGGGTGCTGGGCAGGGTCAGGCACAGAGCCCGGGTTCCAGTTTCTCGTCTCGGTTTAGGAAGTCCCCTGTGGGCCAGCTGCGTCCCCCCTCAGAGCTCTTTCCTCATCGCTTCACCGGGCGTTTCCACTCCATCACGTTCAACGTTCCTCCTCCCTCGCGCGGCTAGGCTGAGGTTGAGCAATGTGCTAGAAACCACATCCTACACCCTCCTTTCTGTCTTCTTTTTCTAAATATTTTTTTTTAAAAATTTGATGTCAGAGAGGAAGGGAGAGGGAAAGAGAGAGAGAAACATCCATGAGGAGAGAGAACCATGGACCAGCTGCCTCCTGCACGCCCCCCCCCCCCCCACAACCCGGGCCTGTGCCCTGACCGGGAATTGAACCGTGACCTCCTGGTTCATGGGTCGACGCTCCACCAGGGAGCCACGCCAGCTGGGCATCTGTGACATGTATCTAACATGGATCTCCACCCACACGACGGGACATTCTCTCACCAAGTACAGTCTGTCCCAACACGTGCTCCGTCTCCTCTCCTGGGGCTAACACGCGGAGCCCCCGTGACAGGTATAGCCTTTCTTAGATCAGGCAGCAGCTTCTTGGAAACCCTCGGTCAAGTCCCCGATTGTTTGCTGGCCGCCAGCCGGGAACACACTTGACAGAGTTCCCTGGAAGGGCTTCTTTGCAGATGATGCTTCGGGGCTCCCCACTCAAATGTGGGAGGGAGAGAGGGAGGGAGGGAGGGTGGGAGGGAGGGAGAGAGAGAGAGAGAGAGAGAGAGAGAGAGAGAGAGAGAGAAAGAAAAATAACACTAACCACTGAGCAACAGGGTTCGGGGTGCCTCGCGGACAGCCTACCCCTATAGACGGTGACATATGTATGCATCTCAGCTCTCTGTGATGTGTTTTAAAACTCAATTTGCTATTTTTTTCATAGCCCTTCTTCTTCTTCTTATATATCTTATTGATTTTTTTTTACAGAGAGGAAGGGAGAGAGATAGAGAGTTAGGAACATCGATGAGAAGAGAATCATCGATCAGCTGCCTCTTGCACCCCCCCCACTGGGGATGTGCCCGCAACCAAGGTCCATGCCCTTGACCGAATTGAACCGAACCTGGGACCCTTCCGTCCGCAGGCTGACGCTCTGTCCACAATTTCCTAGCGATCTCTTCCTCACTACGTCCGCGGTCCTTTCGTCCGTCCTTTTGTTTCTCCCTCTCACGGGCGCCATGTTCTTTGGCAGCTGGTTGAGACCACGTTCATGGCCTCTGAGGCTTCCTCTATGTCACCGGGGTAGGGGGGCGGGCGGGGCTAGGATGTCAGAGATTCTCAGAACACGGCTGGGGACCAGCGGCCTAGACCGCCTTGGCCCCGGCTCAGGCCGACCTGCCCGGGGTGGGCAGCGGCGAGGGGAGGCGGGGGGGGGGGGGAGGGGGGCCAGGTCTGCCCCCCGCCCCTCCCCTAGCCCTGGGCCCCACCCGCTGCGGCTGCATTGCAAAACAGCGCTATTTTGTCGTGACTTCCTCTCGAGCGTCTGGGGAGTTTATTTACAGAAGTGAGATGGCCTTGTTTTCTTTGCGGCGACACACACACACACACACACACACACACACACACACACGGTGCAGAGGGGACCCCGTGAAGCGTGTCACCGACAAGAGCGCTGTTTCACGCCACCGGTTCCCAGGGTGCGAATCTCTGGCGACCCAGACCCTCAGCACCATCTGTCCCCGGAGCCCCAGACGGATGCTCTGAGCTGTTCAATTCCCTGGTCATGGCCCGTGCCTGGGCTTCTGGCTCCATCCTCCCGGGAGAGAGTGTGCAGGGGGTGCTGCTCGCTCATCAACTTCTCTGTCTCCCTCTCCCGTCCTTTCTGAAATCCACAAAAGAGAAGAAGATGAAAAAGAAGAAGGAGGAGGAGGAGGAGGAGAAGGAGGAGAAGAAGAAGAGGAAGAAGAGAAAGGAGAAGGAGAAAGTGTCAGCCCCTGGTCAATTCAACCCGCCTCCACCTTTCCCCGGCGAGATGCCCAGGGCAGAAAGAGTGGAAGGAGCCCTGGCCGTGGCTCAGTGGTTAGAGGGAATGGAGGGTCTCGGGTTCGATTCCTGGGCAAGGGCACGTAGCGTGGGTGGTTGTGGTT